ATGAAAAGACTAGAAGCAAGATGCAACCCCAGACTTCCAGCTTACCAAAAGCAAACTCAGGGGGCAATGAGGTGGAACAATCCATAAGCCAACCACCTGGACTCTGAAGTGGTAATAGTGTAAATAAAAAAGCAGATGAATGAGGCTCTAGAAAAAAAATCAAATCAGAAATAACTGCTCAGATAACTACTGAGATGGTAACCATAATGAAGGACATAGTTAGAGAATCCAGAAAAGATGCAGATAAAAAAGTACAGGAGTATAGAAAAATGATGGAAACCATGAATTCCCAATATATGAAGGAAATGAAATTCAACACATAGATTCAAATAGATACCCAGAAGATTAAAAATTCCATTCAATGTATATGCAACAGAATGAACCAATGTGAAGATGGAATATCGTATACAGAAGCCAGGTTTGTGCGATTAGTGATCATGAAAAGAAAGACTTCTTAAAAATAGCAAAGGGCCACAAAAACCAACCCAACAGCTGTAAGATGATGGAAAGAAGAATAACATAAGATTGACTGCAGTCAATGAAAAAGCAGGAGACAGTATAAATGGCATAAATGACCTGTTCCCAGGACTAATCACAGAAAACTTCCCAAGCATGGAAAGCAAATTTGACATCCAGATACATGAGGCATATAGAACACCAATTGACCATGGTTAAAAAACTCTATACCAAGGCATGTAATAGTCACGAATCCAGAAATCCAACACAAGAGCAGAATATTAAAAGTGTTAGATTTTTAAAAATCACCAATACAGGAAACCCCATCAGAATCACAGCAGACTTCCTAGTACAAACTCTTAAGTCAAGGAGAGCTTGGAGTGAAGTATTTCAAGCCCTAAAAGAAAACAACCTTCAGCCGAGATTAATGTAACAAAAAATTATCTTTCAAAATTGATGGAGAAAAAAGACACTTCCATGACAAAGAACACCAGAAGAAATTCATGACCACCAAACCAAACCAGCAGGACATTCTAGATAAAGACAATGAGGACTACTAATCCATGAATCCCAACAGGATGACTTCACCAGTCAAGGCAAGTAATTAAACAGAGGGAGAAAAAAGTGAACCACTAACAGGAAAATAACACGGCAACTACACTAATATAATTGTATTAATACACTTGAAATTGGAGACCTCAATACCCCAATGTCACAAATAGGTCAACTAGATGAAAAATCAACAAAGAAATATCAGAACTGAATGAAACTTTTGAACAAATAGTAGATGTCTACGGAGTGTTCCACCCCACAATATCAGAATACACATTCTTCTCAGCTGCACATGGGATGATCCTCGTATCTCTAACAGTCCCCTTATTCAGTTAGGCATTAAATGATTACCACACAGAAAAACTACTGTAGAGCTGTCAAATAAAAACAGAATGAAAAGGAGAAGCAGTACTGCACAGTAGCTACGGGCACAAACTCTGCACTTATAATTCCTGGCTGGGAAACCTTGCTCCAGAACCTTCTGGTCTTGTGGGCAAGTCACTTTACCTCTGTCCACTCAATTTCCATATCTGCAAAATGGCAATCATTATGGAATCTGTTTCCATGCCTCTTTAACTTTTGATGATGGAAGACAACCTTTGGCCCTCCTTGGTTTGTGCATCTCTCCAATTTTGCTTCCTTCTGCTCTCTGTGTATGTATTTTCTTATGAGGAAACCAAGCATCTTGGATTAAGAACAAATTCTGATAACTCCATCTTAATTGCCTATGTCAGCAAATACTCTATTTCCCAATAAACTTACATGAACAAGCAGGTGTGTCAGGGTTCCAACATATTTTGGAGGGCAGGCGACACAATGTGAGCCCATAATATGGAGAAGAGCTGAAAAGCAATGCAGTGACTACCCCCATAACTACCACCAGATTCAATAATTGTTTACATATTGCCAGTTTTGCTTTTTCTATCAATCTGGTCTTCAATACAAGCAATCATCTCTAAATGTTTCATGATCTCCTAAGATAAAAGTTAAACTCCTAAATGACCACATTCCTATTCTCATACCTGCAAATAATTCCCTGATATCAACTAACAAACACTTGTAGTGGGTTAACTCCACAAAATTATCTCCTTCTCTCCTGTAACAGGATAATGTCCCCTGCCCTATAATCTTTACACTCCGCTGCTCTAACACAAATAAATATGATAAGGAAATGCACACCACCCACTGCAGAAGACTTTCTTTTCTTTATGAAACAAGGTCTCACTAAATTGCTAAGTGGCCCAGGATGGGCTCATACTTACCATCCTCCTGCCTCAGCCTCTCAGAGTGCTGGTATTACAAGCATGTGCCACCATGCCTGGCTTTAGTATAGAAGCTTTTCAAATCTCTTCCTGAATTTGGGAACAACATACAGGGATCAAAATGGCTACCTGCAGTAAAACCAATGATTTAAGGAAGAAATAAACACTTTTTAAATGTACAATAGATCACTAAAATTTAAGGTTTACAATTGCAGTTTTCTTCAGTGATTTTAAAGCTACTTTTCATATCTTTTAGACCAGTTTTTGGTCGACTTGTGCAATTCATTTAGTTTATAGGTCTCTTAAATCACTTTTATTCAGAACAGTCCCCCACCTACCTTTTACTTTTCTCCCTTCCTTCTCCTTCATCTTTAATGAAATTTATTTTTTAAAGAAGCCAAGTTAATAATCTTATATGATATTCTACACTGTGAATTTTTCTGATTCTGTTCTCCTGCTGCATTTTAAACATTTCCTCTTTAAAACAGTACTTCTTATTTGTGGTTGAACATTCACATCACCTTGGGAGCCCTAAAATACACCTGATGTAATTGGCCTGAGTGCATCCTGGGAATTGGGAATATTTTAAAAGTACCCTCAGTTGGATTTAATATGTAGGGAAGCTTGTGTGTTGTGGGTTTAATGGCTGGACCAATTTTAGTCTGCGGTGTTGTGTTTGTCATGTTGTGCCACTTCGGGAGCGCCTGTAGGTGTTTTATATCACTGTTACTGGTACTAACTTTGAAAACTAGTGTAAGGTGAGCACAGGCAGGCGCTCCCTTTTAATTGTATGTTTTTCTCTTTGTGAGTGGCAAGTAATCAGTGGGACAATATCACAACATTTGGGGAATATGCTGTTTCCTATAAATCTTATAAGTCATGGCTACAGTGTCTATCAGCGATCCTTGTTTGAATAAATTATCCCACAGATGTTTACCAAAGGCTTCCCTCCTTTCTAGGTCTGCCATTCTGTTTCTTAAAATATCCAGCACTGTTTTGTAAAAACTTTCTCTCCTCAACTGGGGTTGAACTATATATATTTCACATAGAAAGGTAAGGCAAATCCCTAATCCTTTCCCTATAATCAATTTTCAGAGCAGGAGGTTAGTGCAATAATCATCTCCAATTGCAGCACATGAGTTTTTGCTTTCTCTGAGTGTTGTTATGGAGGGGTGGTTGTTTATTTATTCAGTGTAGTATTGTGTGTGTTTTTGTGTTTTTGTGGTACTGAGGATCGAACCTAAGACCTAAGGAGTTAGCTACATCACCAGCCCTTTTTTTTAAATTATTTTTTGAGATACAGTCTCACTGGGTTTCTAGGTTGGCCAAACTGGGCTTGAATTTTCAATCTTCCTTCCTTAGCCTTCCAGAGTGCTAAGATTACAGGCCTTTGTCACCTTTCACAGCTGATTATTCTTAGTGATCCTCAAATTATGTGAAATTTGGCCAGTGGGAGGCTCTTCAAGTTGGCTCATCTTTTTACAAGCCCTCATTACTCTCAGCTTTTATTTTCTTTCTGGCACAACAGGATGGCCCTGGCTCACCTTGAATTTTTTTCAACAGAACTTGAAGCTGGCTATTTCTCCAAGGAGTTACTCCAAGGAATGGTATTTAGAAATTAAGGACTGGATGCTTATTACATTCAGGGCTTCATTTCTTCTCTGCCCAATAGACAGACCTGGGAAATACATTTTTTTTAAAAATCATGAATTCATGCTGATAAGTAAAATTTGAAATTTACCTGATGGCCCATTACAATGGCTCATACCTGTAGTTCCACCTACTTAGCAGGCTGAGGCAGAGGATCACTTGAGGCCAAGACCAGCATGGGAACATCCCAAGACCCTGTCTCACATAAATAAATAATCAAGTCATCTAATGAATGTAGGGTTCCTAGAGGAGATAGGATTCGACTGTCTCCTGGTTAGCTTGGAGAGAAGAGGCCGAAGAAGTAAATGGTGAGTAATAATAACATTGACTTCAGGAAGAAAGAAAAGATGGCATACTGGTAGATTTACGACTCCCTGGATGTGCCAGCAATTACATAAAGTATGTGAAGTTAGAAGTTAGTAACTGTTCACACACACTCCCATATTGTTTACTATGTTTTACCTAAGGATAAAAAATGTAAATCAGTAATAAATTCTAAGTCAGTCACGCAAATATGAGGATAGTATTGTTACCACTTTATATTAACAAATCAAACATCTTTGCCTCTTTAATGGTGGGATTTTTGTACACCCATATGTTGGAATATGAGGGGTCCATTTTTCTTTTAGAAATTGCATTTTGTACTAATCACTGACATTGGAAAATAATCCAGCTCTTTGGAAAAAACATAAAAATTGTACAAACGAAAGACTCTGGTTTTATGTGTTCCCTGTTTGAATTAAATACACAAAGAGAAGGGACCAGAATAAATGCTAATGTTGATTCGCTATATCCATATTTTCTACAGTGAGTTAATACTATTTAGAAAGAGCAAAAAATTCACAGCAATACTTTCAAACTTGGTCAGAAAAGAAAGTTTAAACGCCGTGAGAGTGACTTTCTGAAGAAAGGGGAAAGAAAGGAGAGCTAGCTGGACAGTATGAGGGAAAAAAATCCCTCTGTTTTGAAGAACTCTAAGAAGATAAGGAAAAGCCAGAGAGCTGATGACCTCCTTTCTGGCTAGAGGGGCCATGCAGAGCCGCAGGAACTTCCGGGGCGGGGCTACCTAGGCCTCTCCCTTCCTCCGGCTCTATGTGGGCTTCCTACTCCGTTAAGGTTCAGTATTGCTTGGCCACTATTTCCGTCACTCTTAGACGGTACCTGAGATTGGGAGTGCCCATGGCAAAAAGCAAGTTTGAATACGTGCGGAACTTCGAGGCTGACGACACCTGCCTACCCCACTGCTGGGTAGTAGTGAGGCTGGATGGCAAGAACTTCCATGGGTGAGCTAGCGCGGCACAGCATCACGTGATGTGCGGCGCTTCCGGGATCCGACACCTTTCCTCTCAGCCCCTCCCCGCGTGGTTACCAGAGCAATGCGGCAGCCAATGAGCCCTCAGCGTTGAGCGTCCCCGTCGGCTGCTGTGTCTGGGCTTTCATGCCTAGGTAGTCAGGGTAGTTAAAGGGGCAGTGTGCTCCCCTGGTAAAGAGCTTACCTGAAGGGCCTCATTTAAATGAGCGGGGACCAGACTGCAAGGACCTAGGGTCAAAGGAGGACGAGGGGGACCGGGAGACTCACTCCCTGGTGCAGTAAACCCTTAAGCTAACAGCCTCGCTATCCTGCTGGGTATCTTTGAGTACTGTTTAAAGGTTTGTGTAGGCCTTGCAGTGGGCAGTAATATACAGCGTGCCCTTGTTTCATTGCCAGTAACAGAATATATTCTAAAAGGAAAAAAAGAAGACTGAGAATTTCATTTTAAAAGGCTATTACTAATAACCATAACATTTTCGACCACTTAATACAACCAGGCATAATTATTTTTTTTCCTCCCCCTAGTCTTAAGGAAAGCCCAATGAGGTAAAAACTGGGTCCCCAGTTCACAGAAAAAGAAATTGAAATGTAGCAAGCGTGATTCTCGGAGTAAGAGTTAGAATAAGAAACTACATTTCTTAAGGAAGTGGATTCGTTTGTAGCTAGTAGTAGTGTCATTGTTACAGCGTTTTCCTCTTAAAATCACCTCAGTGGTCTGTGTTGCTACCATCTACATCCTTTTCCCTCTTGTTGTTCTGTGAAGGTTTGCTGAGAAGCACAGCTTTGCAAAACCCAATGATAGCCGTGCTCTCCGCCTGATGACCAAATGTGCTCAGACTGTAATGGAAAAACTGGAAGATATTGTCATTGCTTATGGACAGAGTGATGAATACAGCTTTGTGTTCAAGCGGAACACCAACTGGTTTAAAAGAAGAGCCAGGTAGTCCTGTGGCCTGCTTCCTTCCTTCCGAATATTTCCTGTCAGCATCTGCTTTCCTGTCCATCTTGGCTTACACACTACAGATAATGTCTGCAGTATTTGCAGCTGCAGGGTGAATATATATTTCCTGTTTAGATTGTATTCCTTGATCTGATACTTAAACATTCTGTATACTTTCTTTTACTCATTCTTTTCCTTCCATGCCTCATCAGCTTAGCTTCTACACTGACCTGGCACCAAGCATTTGCAATAGAAACAGACCATAAATATGGGATATTAATGACTCATAGATTGACTTTGGCCAGTGTCAGTCTCTATATTCATTACAATATAATTTAAACTTTCACTGAAGGAAGATCACAGTATGAAGTGTATAAATTTGATGTTTAATTTAGCAGTATTAAAATTCTTCATAGAACACAAAACACTGGTGTGTTTTCTAAAGTAGTGGTTTCCCTTCTGCAGAGACTAACAACAATACAAATTTTAAAATTCTTGAATCATAAATTTCTGTCACATCCTACAGAGAAAAATTTGGTATTAGCAAATAACCAGACTGGCAAGTTAAAATGTATAAACAAGATATTAGAATGGTTTTCCTTAGCCAATGTATTTTATCTCCTGGCTGTTTGGGAAGTTTGTGTAACCTCTCTGTTGTACCCACAGACTGTATGTTGGTGTTGAATTAATATCATACATTTTCTCTTTTTTTGTTCCATCCAATGTACTTTGTATTTCCAAGTAAGTTCATGACTCACGTGGCCTCCCAGTTCGCCTCCAGCTATGTGTTCTATTGGCGGGATTATTTTGAGGATCAGCCCCTTCTGTATCCCCCAGGCTTTGATGGAAGAGTTGTGTTGTATCCTAGCAACCAGACCTTAAAGGACTACCTCAGCTGGCGGCAAGCAGATTGTAAGTGGCACCAAATAAACAGACTTAAACCATAAATTCTGTGAATTAAAGGTGTCAGTCAGATACAGGTTTGCTAATGTCTATTTTGTGTGAAATACAATTATTTTTTAAATCAGAAAGGTGTCAGTACTGTCTGCATTCTCACTTATATCAGGCACAGCCTGTGCAGTGACCTTTGCACACACATGCACATGTGAGGCAGTGTTCCGGTCTGTAGTTCCCCTGGGGTCACACACTGCTTTATGCATTTATATTCATGCCAGCCTCAGTAGGTATTTGTGTTGTGGCCTCTGCCTTTTGTTGCTGTGATGTTTGTATAGTTTTTACTCATGTGGTGTATTTTGATTTTGCCACAATGACCGGAAAAGATATTGGAATAAATCACATAACTTTGAAAGGATTTCTAAAATTAGCACCTAAGTTAGCAGACTTGTGTAAAACATAAATGAAATGGCCAAAGAAAGCTATTAGGCAGTAAGTTTTTTCCTGCCTGCTCCTGCCTCTTTCATCTCTGTGTAGGACATGGAGTAAATCACTAAGTGTCTATGAGATCTTTAGAGAGGAGAGACGTAGGACTTCTTAAAGTGTGACTATTGGACAAAGATTCCGTGTATGTAAACTTACGTTGTTCTCACAGGTCACATCAATAATCTTTATAATACAGTTTACTGGACACTTATACAACAATCTGGATTAACACCTGAACAAGCTCAAGAGAGATTAAAGGTATAAAGATCTTACTCTTCAGCTGGGGACAGTTTACTGTAGTATCTCCCACAACACTTTTTTATGTTCCCTTTATGTTCGTCTTTAGCTCCCTTTACAACTTCATTTTGAAAATATAAAAATTATAACGATAACCACTCTGCTTCTTGCTTGCTCTGTAAGCCTGAGTGAATTACTACTTCTCCCCAAGCCTCAGTGCCCTCTGCTGAAAAGTGGACTCACTAACACTGGCTCAGCATTCCTACTTGCTGACCCTTGGCTACAGCTGTATCCTGAACATCTTCATTCAGAGCCTGTGCTCTTCTGGTTTAGAACCCCTGTGTATAGTAAGAGTCCGTGTTCTTTCTGGGGTCAGGCAACAATACTTGAATCATGATTCTATTTCATTTTCTCACTGTCTGCCTTGGTTTTTGTAAGTAAAATACAGGGCTAGGGATTTAGCTCAGTGGTGCCGCTGCCTGCCTTAACAAGCACAGGGTCCTGAGTTTGATCCCGGGTACCAAAAAGAAAAGTAAAATGTAGAAATTAATAGTTCCTACCTAGTAGGTTTATGGTGAGAATTTAAAGGCACAATGTACGTCAAACACAAAAGTAGAAGGCACACTATAAGTGCTTATAAATCCTGGTGTTTCTTATTAGACCACATGCTGCTTGTGGGGTGATTGAATGTATGAAGTGAGGTTACATGTAATAGCTCCTGGTCCAATACCTGGGAAATTATATTTAGTCAGGGATTGCTATTCTTAGTAGTACTAAGGATGAAGACATATACAACAACATTGGGACTACTAGTAGATATGTCCAGTTTGGAAAAGCCAAGTTCATATTTTTGATTCTTAGTAGAAGAATAAAGACAGCCTTCAACCTTGGGCATTTTGCATAATCTTCCTAAGCTTCAGTTTTCTTATATTTAAAATAGAGATGGTATAATGATAAAATAAGAAAAATGAACATAAAGTTTATGTGCATACTAGATATTAATTAGTATTTGTTCCTTCAACCTCCTCACAGCCTTAACTTATAAAGTTATCCACATGTGAATGTGAATATCTAAATAAGATTCAAATTGTACTTAAAATGAAAATTCATTAGTATAAGATGTTAGGTAGCATCCTTCCACTTCTTGATTTGTTCCTCGATGTTTAGGTGGTATAGAGGTGGCATTACAATGGCGTCTGAAGCTTTTTACATCTGTTGGTGCTATTTTCTCAGGGAACTCTTGCAGCAGACAAGAATGAGATTTTGTTTTCTCAATTCAATGTCAACTACAACAACGAGCCGCTGATGTACAGGAAAGGGACTGTGCTGATATGGCAGAAGGTAATGCTGTTGTGTTCAAAGGAAAATGAGGATCAGGCAAAGAAAGAGAACCTGTGTCCAGTCCAGGCTTTGTCCTGCCTGCTGCTATGACTCTAGTCCCTGACTTTGTCAGTCAGCTGTAGTCTAGAAATCGTCATTGCATAGATATTAGTACAGAATTTTAAAATTAGCATACTTGTCTTTGTGTCATAAGCGCTCCCTATATCAAATGTGCCATTTTTTTAAATGGGTAAAGATACAAGGATTTTTGCATTCATAGAACATTTAAAAATATTTTCTCCCACACCGGAGAATATCATTAAATGGTTCATCTAGCCATGACGACTATAAGGAAGAACTATAATGAAGCACTAAGAGATATTACATGTGCAGGTTCTGTTACTTTCCAAAGAGTCTCCATTCACATTTACCTTATTATTCTGTGATGAGTCGTTGCATTTGCATTTGCCTAAATCCTTAATTCTACCAAAATTTTCTCTCTCATTGGCTGTTTGTTTAATTATTTTTCTAAATTCATTTCCTTCTCTGTTAAATGACTTTTTGTGAATGTTTGCAAGTACTGAAGGATACGTGGAGAGCTAGTCATTCCACTGGCAGCTTCAGCTCTCATTAATACAGTATTTTCAAAACACATTTGTTCTTTGGAAGCCTCGGATACTTGTTAATGCAAATGGGCAAAGAGAAATACCTTTAATTCTATAGTCATCGCTCACGGGAAACATAAAAATCCCTTCTTTGTTGCCAAGGTCACTTTTTTCTTTTTCTAGATAGGGCCTTCCTAAGTACAAAGTTGCTTGGGCTAGGCTGGAACTTTTAATCCACCTGCCTCAGCCTCCTAGGGTATGGGGATTACAGGCATGGGCCAACGTGCCTGATTCCAAGATCACTTTTCAAACTATAGCAACATAACCTTTTTTTTTTTTTTTAACATGTTTGTGTTCATAAAGAGGTTGGTGCCTGTTGAAAATGAGGCAGTCAGAAGTAAATAAAAGCAAGCTTCCCCCACGTCCTCCCCTTCTCTCCCACACCACTGTCGAGTTAACTGTCACCACTCTTTACCTGTAGGTGGATGAAGTCATGACAAAAGAAGTTAAGCTGCCAGCAGAAATGGAAGGAAAAAAGATGGCAGTGACCCGGACCAGGACGAAGCCAGTGCCGTTACACTGCGATATCATTGGAGATGCTTTCTGGAAAGAACATCCAGAGGTCCTTGATGAGGACAGCTGACCCTTCACTCTAAGTCTGGCACGCTTGACCATGCAAGGTCTCTTCCTAGGTGATCCTAGCTTTCGTGCCATCCAGACACTGCCAGGGCGACATGACTCAAGATGGGAGGAACGGGGAAGGCAGGAATGAACAGGGTGATGCCTCTTGTTCTGCTTCAGCAGAACCCCCTTTTTGCAATGCTAGAACGTGACTTCTTTGGTTTTTTTGGTTTTTTAATCGTGGTACTATTTTTATAAAGCAAGAACTATTTCATGCCTTGAGGGATGAATCATTTTTAGATTGTGACATAAGTCTTATACAAACTTGTCAGCTCTTTTCATCTCTGATAGAAGAAGAGCCCAAACTTTACTCTCTCCCACCTGCTCTAAGTAGAGAACCCAGTGATTTTGAAAAATCTCACGTCTGCCACCCATGTACTGCTTTCATCTCTGACAGACCTAAAGATAAATGTGGGTCCACATCTATTTGAGGCCTCTAAATTCACAAATTCCAGGGAAAACTCGGGGCTTTCAGTCTCCAGGTTCCTGACTGGCTGAATAAATGAGTAGAGGTTTGCATATCCTTGTGCACACATCCCATGTGTTGATTTTATGGAATTTTAATCATGATGATGTGATCTTGCCAGGGCCAGAGTTTCCAAAGGCATTTACCTCTCCATGCAGAAGTGTATGTCTTTATGCGAGGAAGAAACTGTGAGAATGCATGCACGAGGATGAAACATTTACTCTCTGTCCTCTTGATACCATTTTAAAAGCTGTCGTCTCGTTGGACTTCATGAAAGATTGTCAAGTAGCCTGTATATAATCAGAACTGTGAAACTTAACTCAAGAGCAGAGGGCTCAGCATGCCTCTTGGGGTCCGAGGTAGCAGATGTCAGGGAAGTCAGTAACTCCACGTGCGAGAGGACCAGCAGAGAACAACAGTGTTAATCTCATATTACCAAGCTGTTAGAATCTGAAGCCGGAGTCATGGGCTTATGGGGTGATAACTCCCATTTCCTCCAGTTCCTGTTTCATATTTTAGAGCACAAAGATTATTTGGTTCTATTAAGAATCATTTAAGAGACAGCCCACGTCCCAGCGCCTGGTCTCGGATGGCAGAATTTATAGCCAAGAAGAAAATGTATTTTTTAAAGAGCAACGGCTGGCCTCATCCATCACTAATTGACACCCCATCTGTCGATGCCATTTTTTTCCTTCCTGTTTTCCCCCACTCCACAGGAAGAGGAGATACAGCTTGTGTTTGGTAACTGCTAAAACCTCTTTGAGAAAAAAATAAAGACTTCAACTCCCTGGGGCTACTTACTCATTTATTTCATAATACGAATAGAGTATGTAAGTCTCACTTTAGTGTCTGTCTTTGGGTAAGCTAGGATGCATATATCTGCATTAAACAGGTTCACACACCTACAGATTGAAAAAAAATTACTTGGAATCTGTATTTTTAAATGCTCATTTGAGGCTCCTGGAATATCTGGGGCTCATCAGTCTGATGTTTTACCCCAGAGGCTTTGGGCTTCTGACGCATATGGTCGATGTGTAGCTCCTTGGACAAACCAGGCCCTCAGTATACTGATAGGCCAGATGAACAGTAAAAAATGTAGTTCTTGGTTGGCAAGGTTTACTTAATGGCAAATTGATAGCACTTTATATGAAATGCGGCCAAGTGGGCATTAAACTACAAAGTTTCAGGACAAATTCACCCACAGGAAATGTGTGCTTTCTCTGGGTCTCATGAGACACTATAAAGCCCATCGTTCCACTTGTTAAGAGAAGATGAACACTCGTGAATTCCCAGCAGTTCTGTAAATTTGAGTTTTGCTCAGGCAGGAGGTTTTAAACAGTAATAAATGGGGATTTAATACCAGTGCCATAAGGAAACCGGTAACAACATTAACTAGAAGCTGCTGCTTGATAGTTTTTATTTCATCTTTGTGGGGATATGTATTCCTTCCACTGCACAATTCACTGTTGTACATTAATTTTTATCTTGCTCTCTAAGGTACTCTACAGTATTCTCTGGGTGTTCTTTTCCAAATGTTAAGGAAACAAATACACAAAAAAGCAACCAGTAGAGTTAATACCAGTTGATAGTTGGGAGAGCATTGGCAATTAGAATTGATTTTTGTGGTTTGTAAGTGACTGGAAACACCTTGGCCTTTCTGGATGTGGAAGTAATACTGTATCTAGAGGAGACTCATTTTAACATCAAAAAACACGTTTTGCTGAACTAAAGCTACAAAGTAGAAACTGGAACAGATCAGATCTTGTGAATCCTCACCGCCTCCAGTTCTTCAGCAGTGCTCGGAAAACAGTAAATGATTTTTCATTGACACTACGTTCTCTCGGTCATTAGTGCAAACTTCTTTATAGGCAAAGGAAATAAGGATGCTGCAGAAAAGCCGACAACTAAAAATTTTCAGACTACGATGGCTAAGCCCACCCCTGCCCCAGTACTCGTGATGAATGCAAGTTGAGACACACACTGCCCTTCCCTCCAGTTCAAGCTAGGTATACACTGCAGTACTAACGAGCAAGGAAACGCCCAAGGATGTTAACCTGTCAATCCAGGATCCACCCCGGAGAGTTTGGGGTATTAACAAACACGCCAAATGATAGCAGTACGGACGGGAAAACACTGCGTTAAAGCGGATTTACCATTAGTTTGGCGTCGAGCTGTTTAGCGGGTCGCAGCCACGCGTCACGCCCTCTGGCAGGGACCAAG